CCATCCATTCTTACATTCATCCAACAAACCACCCATCTACCCATCCATTTATCCAGCCATCTACCCATCCATTTATTCATCCATCCATCCACCCACCCATCTTTCCATCTATCATCCATCCTTCCATCCATCCATCCATCTTGCCACCCATCCTTCTATCCATCCATCCATTCTTCCATTCATCCACCCATCATTTTTCCAGCCATCCACCCATTCATTTATTTAGCCATCCATTTATCTATCCAGTCATCAGCCATCTGTATATCAATCCATCCATCCATTTATCCACCCATCCATCCTTCCACATACTTTTCCATCATCCACCCTCCCACCCACCTTTCATCCTTTCATCCATCTGCTCATTCTCCCATCCATGTACCCTTCCTCTTCCATACGTTTACCCTTCTTTGTATGAAACAAATATTCAGCAGGCATATCTTGACACTCAAGGATCAAGCCCCACATCGGGCTCCCTGCTCAAGGAGGATCCCAATGAACAAGATACACAGAGGTCCTTGAGCTAATGGAGCCTCCAGTCAAGTGGAAGGAGAAGGCATTAAATGAGACAACTTTGGGCTGTGCTCCACACCCTGGAGAGAAGGCACGGTGCTGTGATGGAGACCAAGGGTCCCAGGGAGGGGAGGCGCATTTGCAGAGAGCCTGGATAGAGAGGTGGTGGAGGAGGCAAGCACAGCCGACCCCCTCCCTGGGAGTATGAGACCTGGGCAGTGGCCATGGCTAGAGGAAGGGAGGGCCTGTGGACAGATTTTGGAGGCAGCCCAACCAGCAGTGTGTGGTCAGTGACTAGACTGGAAGGGATTCAGAACAGAGGGATACACTCACCTCCCAGATTTGGTCTTGAGGATCTGGAATCATCCACCATTACTTTTTCTTTTTTAAAGATTTTATTTATTTATTTGAAGAGAGAGCGAGATAGCACAAGCAGGGGGAACAGTAGAGGGAGAGGGAGAAGCAGGCTCCCCGCCAAGCAGGGAGCCCAATGTGGGGCTCGATCCCAGGACCCCGGGATCGTGACCTGAGCTAAAGGCAGACACTTAACCATCTGAGCCACCCAGGCGCCCCTCATCCACCATTACTTTGGCATGGGGGAGGTCAGAGGCCGGGTCGGGGAAGAACCTGCTCTGATTCTCCCCGATTCTTGCCTGCTCAGGGGACGCAGGGGATATTAGCAGACTGATCATTTCCTACTTGAAAGCAGATGTGTACAGCGCTTTCCAGAAGGGGATGTTCCTCAATGAGAGAGAAAACCCACCTGAAAATCTCCTGCTTAAAGAGCCTCTCTGTTCACGAGTCCACAAGAATAGGGACGTCAGCTGCCCTTCAGGGCCCCATATCAGGTCACAGGATGGTCACAGTGTCGACATCTGGCCCTTCCATCCCCCTGCCATTTGGTGCACTTGCCCACAGCCCCTCTGTCCTCTGTCTTCTGCCCTCTGCCCTCGTCTCTGAGCGAGCAAAGTCAGCTGGGACCCAGTGTTGCTCAGGCAGCAGGAGAATCGCACGACCAGGCAGAGCAGGGAGAGTTTAGACAGTTTCCCTCTGCCCCCAAACCCGCTTTTGTCTGTCTATAGAGCCCAGGTTCTGGACCTTGTGTGTCTTGGCATCTTGTCCCCCGACCTCCGCAAGAGGAGGGTGTTGTCATCTGCATTAGAGGAGAATCACATGGCCCAGGGGAGTGGGAATGACTCACATGCAACCCTGGGGTGGATGGTGGCTGGACCCCATTTGTCCTCTACACCTCGCCTCTGCCCCCACGTGAAACTCTGGCCCAAATTTAATCAGATGTTCATGGTACAGGGGCTGGTGGTGGGTTTTTTGGAGGGGGATTTTTGTTTGTTTGTTTTTTAATAACTTTTACTACAGGTCGCCTGGGTGTCTCAGTCGGTTAAGCATCTGCCTTCGGCTCAGGTCGTGATCCCGGGGTCCTGGGATCAAGCCCCACATCGGGCTCCCTGCTCAGCGGAGAGACTGATTCTCCCTCTCCCTCTGCTCCTTCTCTCTCTCACGCTCTCAAATAAATAAATAAAATCTTAAAAAAA